GGGTGTTTGGGTTTAGAATGATAGACAAAGAAACTACATTCGTACAACTGAGATAAATCAATGAGAAAATAGACAAAAATTTGCAAAGGGAAATGAACTGAAACAAAGACTTATAAAATAAATTGCTTAAGTGTAAATTGGACGCATGCATACATTTGTGTAGTAATGATTTGTTTCTCTTAGACGCTAATACTTTGAGTGTACTCTTTCCAATGTTACAAAATGCAACCTCTGAAACTGAAACTAAACTCTACTTAAATAGGCATAGAAAATAAATGCTACTTCACTGTCGACCATCCACAACCTATCACGCGTCCACCCATGCATGCCCATTTCTTGTGTAACTCCCCACGTTCTCGTCAGCTACAAACTTGTTCATTTTTCTTGTCTTCAACCTTAGTCAAAATGGCTATCCGTCGAGCCTGCTTTAACTTCCCATTAACGGGTGGTCCGTCGAGACTTCTCCAACCTTAGTCTGTAGGATCTCCCGTTGAATTCGTTTCAACTTCTTCATTTGTGATGTCAAGCCCCCCTTCGACTGGCTTCTCTTTTTTGGTCAAAATTTTCAAGCTAACACTGCCAAACAAAAACTAGTGTGTTGTTTGGATTGGAACATGCAGAAGTCTAGTGTTGCTTGAAACTAGTATGAAACTAATGAAGAATGCGTACTATAGAAGAATAGAAGTGACTTATTTCTTGGTTTACATGAATTATGCTAGTCTCGATTTATAAGTGTGGAGAATGAGTTGAAATATGTGTTTACTTTCCATCTTATTTATTTCCTTTATTTGGTGTGTTTTGTTTGTTATAAAGTGGGTTAGATTAAGGGAGAAAGTTGGCGTTCAAGAGAGACCAGAAAGGGGGTGCAAAAAGAACTTATCTAATGTATAATTAATCAAATGACATGTAACCTTTATCCATAAAGGATAAAGAGGGAACAAATGCATTCAAATAGAGAACTTAGCAGCAACACTACAAAAATGATAATATCTTATTCAAACTGTTTGATAAAAAGGAAATTCAAAATTCATTATTTTCTATGTTATACATGTAATACATACACATATACATATAAAAGTAACAACACAGATATAGTACATGACCAGTGTACACAAATTTTATTGCTTACAAAAAAAAGGGTATGATTTATTCAACTGACATATACCCATTTGACTGAAAATATAAAAGGTGATTATCATTATAAAGAAATTTTATTTCAACATATAAACTCCAAAGAACTTATATGTTGGGTGGACTGGAAGCACAAAGCCACGAGACAAATTTCATAAGAGTCTCAGGATCAACCATATACTGATGCTTTTGAGTAAACTCAAAATACTGTGACAATGTGAAATCAGGATATATATTTGGCTCTTCTTTTCCCAAAATATTTTTGGGGGCTCTAAGAACTTTGTCTCCTTTTGGACATAAATAGAAGGCTAGTGTCTTTCTCTCCATCTCCTTATTAGTCATTACTCTATGACTACAACTCTTATATATCCCATTAGTCAACACCTAAGATATATAACAAAAAAAGTCAAACTCTACAATACAACAATATCATTTTTTTCACAAAGTGAAATATACATACCTTAAAAGTGTCACCAATACTTATGACAAAGGTATTGGGTATGTGGGGAATTTCATACCATATTTTATCAATCAAAACTTCTAGACCCCCAACTTGATCTTGGAAAAGAATGGTGATTGAGCTTGGATCACAATGAGGACCAACGCCAAGGGTGCCAACTTTGACACCAATGTTAGAAGGATAAGAACTACATCTCATCATTGCCTCAGCATCTTTGAAAAAGTTTTGATAATGAAGAGGATCCACACTCAAGCTAATGGCCAATAGCTCTAAAATAAGTCCAGATAATTTTTTCATTGCATCACAATACTTTTGACACACCAACCTAATCAAATTAGAACATAAACAAATGTGCTAAAAAATTTATTAATCAATATGTGTGTCCATGTTTAAAAAGAATCGTGATTCTTACCCAGTTTGTTGATGATCGTCATCTAAGACCGATTTGAAGAACTCAACAATCTGCGAATTAGATTCGTCGTAATGTTTGTATTGGAAAGTAAATGACTCTTTCCATGGTAAGTTGGAAGAAAAACGCCATGCGTGACCACCTAAGTAGCCCCATGGATACCTCATAGAACCTACCTTCATCAACAAAGGAAGCTTGAAAATATTATCGAATTCTTGATAAGTATCATTTATCAAATTTTGATCCACGCCGTGATCAGAGACTATGAAGAAGCCATGCTTCATGCATGAATCCCTCACAATCTCTGCAACAACAGCCAAAATAGCTTCATCACCGCCTTTCATAATGTCTAAGTTAATGATTGGTATGTTAACTTTGTTTTCACCAATTTGGATCATTTTCCAAGGCAACTCAGCTTCCTCATACAACAAATTGGAGTCTGAAATTTGGACTCCATTTTCATTTTCTGAGGAAGAAACGATACCAAACTTTGATTCCATTAGATTTAGGAGATACACGCAAACCAACTATAAAATATTAGTGCAATTATAACTATAAGATCATGCTATATAAATATGTTTTTCTGATATAAAAAAGAAAAGAAAAATCAACCTTTATTTTAATAAAGAATATTAATTTAATTTTTATATATGTATTTTACTTAAAACTCTTTTATGATTTTATCATTTTTTTAATCAATATATTTATGTTGACACATGATCACCCTTCCTCTGAAAATTAGGTGAAATTTTGCTTTTCATAAATCTCAAATTCAATGAATATTTTCTGTCAAAAAATTCAATGTATATTTAAAAGAAAATATTGATGTATGAGTAACAACAGTTTATTTACATTTATAATTATAAAAAAAACGTATCCATTACCTTTTCTTTGCACTTTGTTTTTTTAATGAAGAAAAGATTGAAAAAATAAAGTTAAAAGAAGTTGTATAAAATTTTATGTACTTATGTATTGTGTTAAAAAGTTTAAAAATATAATCTATAACATATATAAAGGTAAAATATTAAAATTTTATGTACTTATGTATTGTGTTAAAAAGTTTAAAAATACAATCTATAACATATATAAAGGTAAAACATTGAGTTTTGGTGTAGTCTATTTTTCTATCAATTTTATCCTTATTTTATACCATAACTTCTATTGAAATTATTACTATCATCTTTCACCTAACTTCTTGCTATTAACTTTCTATCCAACTTTCTATTATTAACTTCCTACATAACTTCCTTTAAAAATTAATACTATATAAAAAATTATCATTTACATTTTTACATGTGTGCATTAAAAAAGCGGACAGATGGGCGAATACCCGTCCGAACGATAGTAATAATAAATAGAAAATACAAATAAAATATTATATAATTAATTATCTACTTTTAAATTGAGATATTGTCAATTTTTTATTGTTTGTAATGTATCTTTATCTACTTTTTTAATTTAAGAGAATTAATTTTTATTATGAATTAAATCTTTAAAATACGTAAAACAGGTAATAAAAACTAGATTGAAAAGAAAAAGAAAATAGATAACAAATAATTAAAATAATAATTTAGGTAAAATAGTTAAATTGATAGTTGTGCATAATAGTTGCAACGGGTTCGAATTGTTAGGAAAAAATAAAGTACAAGGAAAAAATGAGGAACGTAATCACAACACTAGAATATAATGTGAAAACTTTAAAATTGGAGAAAAAATTACAACCATTGTCAATAAACAATCAGAAAATAACACTAGGTGAAAATTGTTACAACACATAATATATCATCACAAACTTAGGCCCCAAGTACACTCACACTCTCCAAAACAAATATTTAACTACATCACGCAACACTCTAATACAAGAGCATAAGAGAATAAAGAAAATCAAATACAAGTTTAAAGTTCTTTTGATTGCTACATCTTAGAATAAAGAACTTGGATCTTATCTATAGCCTTGAAGTTCCTTTTCATTCTCAAAACTAAGCAATGTGAGACTTCAAAAAACTTGTATCTTATATATAACCTTAGACTTTTCTTCATTCACAAAACTGAAGGATGTGAAACTTTTTTAACATGTATATTTTCAACCAACCCCAACACGAATTTGCAATATGATACATATTTATCTTTAATGGATGATATTTGGACTAGTAAACTAATAGTAGGGATGGCAACGGGGCGGGTCGAGGGCGGATTTTATTATACCCGCACCCGCACCCGCCTCTAAGTAACACACCCGCGTCCACCCCCAAACCCAACCAGGGGTAAAAATTTACCGCCCAGACCTGCCCCCAGTAGAGAACGGGTGCACCCGCACCCGCTCCGCCCCCACCCGCAAAAAAATAATTTCTTTTTAATTGCAATAAAAATTAATAATTTAATTTAAAAATTGATTATTTTAATAAATAAATTATTTATTTAATCAAAAATTTAATTAATAAATGAATATTAATTTGATTAATTTAATTATTTTAATTGCAATAAAGGTATTTATAATTTAATTAAAAATATAATTAATAAATGAATATTAAAATAAGTAAAATAAGAGAATTAAATTAAAATGCATTATTGGGGGGCGGGGCGGGAGCGGGAGGGTCTTAGTGTCTTCCTGCACCCGTAATTAAAAGTCGGGTTTTCTCCGCACCCGCACCCGTACCCACTCAAACCGGATTTTTCCCACTAATTTTGAGACGGATCCGGATTTTTTTGCCATGCCTAACTAATAGTCCAAAATAATGTCAATAATAGCCTTATTAAGCCATTTAAATTTGTATTCATTTATTTTTCGATCAAATAGTTTAATGGTGGGAATTCAAGTTAATAAGTGATATATCGCAAGTTTGAACCACATCACTATATTTGATGTTTTTACACAACTATCAACAGAGTTTATTTAACCGGTCTCAACCATTTAAATTTACTATACAATATTTTGTTAAAATTATTTATTTAATTTAAATGCACATTTGGTCTGAAAATATTTTGTCTTATTGTTATAAAAAAATCTATATATTAAACTAAAAATAATTTATATTATTAATAAATATATTTTAATTTTATACTTTGCAATTTTTAATTAATTGTAATGAAATTATAATTCTAATTTTTTAAATATTTTTATTAATATATCTAATTTTTGTCAATAACATTTATGTCATTTTAAAAATCACATTTTTGCTTTCATTAATAACTATTAAAATTTATATTTTACTTTCTTTCATCTATATTTTTTTCATCAACGAAATATTATTAAAATATATTTTTAATTTTGTAAAAATCTAAATCGGGTCTCATTACTCTGCTTATTTGGCAAGTACAATTCATAAAATATTTGATATTTAATATTTATAATGATGAATGCTAATAAGATATAATAGTTCACTCGCAAGAGTTTGAGCTTATAAACTCAAGAGATAAAGTTCAAATCTTTTTTATAATCTTTGTAAAATAGTCATTAATTAGCGTCAATTTAATTATTATTAATTTCTCCAATCCCTTTAATTTCAAAAGTATACATAGCAATTAAATTGTCAATAAAATATTATTATTTTTTAAATAAAAGATTATATTAAATTGTCAATGAAATATTATTAATCATATAATATGAGTTTAATATAACATTTATTTATCATATCTTAAGAGTTAAGTCAGCTCTATATTTAATAAATTTAAAATATTATAGTATTATTCAACTTTAATTTTATAGGACATGATATACTTTATGATTTATGCACAACATTATATATATATATATATATATATATATATATATATATATATATATATATATATATATATATATATATATATATATATATATATATATATATATATATATATATATATATATATATATATATATATATATATATATATATATATATATATATATATATATATATATATATATATATATATATATATATAAACACTTGAATATATGCATGTAAATGTTATTCTAGTAGTAGTAAAATATTCAGACTATGTTATTAAAAGGATGAATAATATTATGTTTAATTATATTTTTTTGTCTATTTATTTTAAGCGAATAACCAAAATTTTCTATTTAAAAATAAAGCAGTTTTTATCTCTCTCATAAAAAATTGAAAAAATATCAAATTTTTAATAACGTGTCATTTTTAAAATGTGACAAAAATCTATATATAAATTTTAGGGGAATTTTAGATATATAAAATACAACTTACATGTACTTGAAAAAATAAATATGTCATCAATTTCCAATACAAAAATATGAAAGGGTGACCAAAATCATTTAATTTTGAGATAGAAAAATTAATTTTATAAATTATTTAAAATAAAAGGATCAAAATTATTTTTAAACTATAATATTATTACAAACATGTTGATTTTATTATTTTAATACTATAGTGCAAGTGGTGGTGCTCAATGTATATGCATATTGTATATTTTGGATATCGGTTTAATTTCAATGTAATGGTGGGAAAAAAATTAGAAAACTCAAAATATAAAGAAGTATATATGCATTTTCTTAAGTTCATAGAGTTTTTTTATTTATTTTAAATAAATGATTAGCATGTAAATGATATATTAGTATTTTTTCCGGGATTTAAATTTAACTTTTTCTTTATGTCTCAACAAAGCTACCAATTAAATTGACATTCAAGTACAATATATTATATATAATTAATAAAGTATTTAAATATAGAAAAATTTGTTATTTTGACTTAAAAAATTAATAAATTAAAAAATATTTAAAAAAAAAAAAAACAAGTATTGATTTACAAATATCATAGTTAAATAACTATGTTTTTATCAGAAATCGAAATCTAGACAAACAAGTCATGCCCATTATATTATTTTAACACAATTAATAGAGCATTTAAATATTTAGTTATGAAAATTATTTAACATTGCGAAACAATTAAAAAAAAATTAATGATAAGCAGTGAGAATAATTAGGAATGAAATTTAAGACACTTTGATTATGTGAATTGAGTATTGATGTTGTTGAACATCAACGTTGAAGATCAATCTTTTTATCATATTAATGTTTATTTGTAAAAATCAATTTTAAAAAAATATATTTTCTACTCCATAATTTAATAGTTAACTTCTCTTTATATCTAAGTAATCAAATTTATTATCCATAATTAATAAATTATAAAATATTATATCATTTTAACACATAAAAAAAGAAATAAAAAGAGTATATATTGAATTATTAAGAGTTAAAAATAAAATTATTTAACTTTTTTAAACTATTAAATAATTAAATTGATCTAACCTGATCAGGAGGGGATCACGGGCTGGCCACACACTGCTGGGCTGCTACCTGTTCACCGGTGATGAGGAGGAGAGAGGGGGGGGGGGTGTACCTGCAAGACACTCCGATGCCAAAGTAAGAAATTGGGCAGAGTGAGGGCAAAGTACAGAAAAGGGCAAGATGTGAATTACCTGACCCTCTTGAGAAAGAGGGTATTTATAGAGAGACCCCAGCGCTGGGCCAACGGTCATTAGG